AAGGCTATGGGAGTGGGATGTGGAGGGCTCATAGTCTCTGGGTGGAGGGCTCATAGTCTCTGGGTCGTTTTAGCCACAGTTTTTAAAAGTGCCAAAAATATCGCCAAAGTTAGTTTGCCCGGCTAACTCTGAATGTGCAGTGCTTTCTGCAGCCCTTACCCTGAAACGGAATTGTCTGATTGCTGTAGATTCTGGAGCGACCCAGACTCTTGCTCATTGGGTTCCCCCCTTGCTCATTCAGGTGGTGCTGCTGGGCTGGATAGGTGTTTTTGAGAATCTGCCATCCTCAAGGCTGCAAAGATGGAGCTAAAACAAATCTTCCAGTCACATACAATTCTAGCAAAATCACGGAGACATGGCCTGTGGCATTGAGAAGATTAAATTACCGAGCCCGCTGTGCCCCCTCCCCCAAGTAACTGGAATAAACTTGTTAGAGCTGCATCAGAAAGAACAGAATAGCCTTTAGTCTTCCACAGCCCCTAAGCATTTTGGTAATAAATAATAAAAGGTATTTATTACATGTTACAGTGACATTGTGGAATTCAAATGCAGTTAGCCATAACATTTTCTTCCTCAAATGTTAAAAAGAAAGAAAAAAGAATTAGGAGTGGAGAGGCAGGACAGCGGGAGCAGGGGCTTTAAAACCTGAGGAATGTGGTAAAGAGAGCCTTGTGTGTTTTTTATAGTCGTAGAATGGGGGTAGAAGGTAGGGGGAAAACATGGGCAGGAAGTCAGGGGATTAGGGCTGCAGGCCTGTCGGTGCCACTGTCTGACTTTGCTACCTTGAACAGGAGGACTACCCTCGCTCCATCGCAGCTTCGCAGTTATCATCAGATAAAAGGGTTGAGAGCCTTCCTGTTTTATCAGCTGTTTATTCAGTTCTCTCAAAAGACCTCTGTGTCAGGCTTCCCTGAAGTTCATTCTTCTTCTTCTTCTTCTTCTTCTTTTTTTTTTTTTTTTTTGGAGACGGAGTCTCACTCTGTCGCCCAGGCTGGAGTGCGGTGGCGCGATCTCGGCTCACTGCAAGCTCCGCCTCCCGGGTTCACGCCATTCTCCTGCCTCAGCCTCCCGAGTAGCTGGGACTACAGGCGCCCGCCACCTCGCCCGGCTAATTTTTTTGCATTTTTAGTAGAGACGGGGTTTCACCGTGTTAGCCAGGATGGTTTTGATCCCTTACCTTGTGATCCGCTCGCCTCGGCCTCTCAAAGTGCTGGGATTACAGGCGTGAGCCACCGCGCCCGGCCGGTACACTCTTCTGAACCATGCTTCCTTTCAACCAAAAGGGGCCGAGCTCAGTCTGAGTAATGGGCAAGGGATGAAGAAACAGGCCCTGTGTTTCCCTTGCCTCAATTTACTGTGCTGTGGATTGGACAGCAAAGTCTTCCCTAGACTGACTCCCCACAACGCTGCAGGAAGCATCTGGCCACAGAGGATAGTGGCTAAAAGCATAAGCTTGGAGTCACGTTTTTGGCTTGGGTTCTAGCCCCGGTCACCTGTAACCGTATGTTCCATTACACTGGGACCTTGAGCAACTTGTTTAATGCCTCTGAGCTACAGAGTCCTTATTTGGAAAATGGTATATCTAAAAATGAATGACAGGACCTAGCATAGTCCTTGACACATACACTCTCAATTAATGGTAGCCAAAGAAATGAGCAATAATAAAAATGTTTCCTAGGCCTTAGTCTTATACTAGTAACTAAGGGTAAATGATGACTGGGAGCAGGGAAGAAGAGTGCCTTATTTGTATGCAGGAGCCTCTGGCAAGCACACATGAGCTGTTCTAGGTGCTGGCTGGGGAGGTACCACAGCACATCTTAGGAACCATGCCTGCATTTAAGGAAGGACCGCAAAGGCAAGAAGCAGGAATGAGAGACCTCTTGGAAAAAAAGATGTGGATTTTACATTCACTCACTCATTTATCTAGCACTGAGGAGCTATTGCAGTTGTGGCTTTTGGTTACTTGTTCATGTGTTAGACCTTTGCTAGCAGGATAACAGAGATGAATGGCACCATCCTTGCCCTCAGGAAAGTGACAGTCTACAGTGCTAAAAGCAAACTGGCAGTGACAATAGAAGATACTAAGTCTGAGGAATGTAAGCACAGGGAGCACGGGAGGTGGGGTGACTGTTCTGATTTGTCCAGGACTATCTTGATTTTAACACTAAAAGCCCACATTCCAGGAAGTCCCTCTGTCCCAAGCAAACAGACAGTTGGTCACCCTAGTGGGAGGAGCCAGAGGAGCGGCAGCACCTGAACTAATCTTGCCAAGTCAGAGAGGGCTTCCTGGCAGAAGGGATGGCCTACAAGGAAAGTAGGAATTAGCCAGGCAAGGATGTTGATGAATTGGAGGTGGAGTGGGTCTTATAGAAAGAATCCCATATGCAAAAACCTAAAGGCAGGCGAGACAGTGAGGAAGTGGGGAACCCTGGGGAGAGAAGGTGGAAGGCCTTTCTTTGCTCTGGACAGTCATTGCCCTCCAAATGTGTTCCTCTTCTCCTTGATCTCTCCTCTGACTCCTGTTGATTGAGAATGTAGATCTGCAAAACTGTGGGAGATGCTGTCTAGGCAACTCTCACATTAGCAGGGAGAAAAGAAGGCGAATTTTTCTCAAGATCCCTTTCAAGTCTTTGATTCTAAACCAAGAATCCATACCATAAGGCCATCCATCAGGGAGGTGTTCACTCTGTGTATAAGATAAATAGCCTACACCTTCCCTATGTATTTCAGCCACCTTGAAGAGTGACACAAGTCATCACACAGTTGATTTGCCAGCAATGATGTGTCCATCACAAAGTGAACCAGCATGGATGTGTTTGCTGGACCACCACCAGCCAGCTGAGCCACCATGGAGATGCAAGTTTAATTATTTCGTTTTTCTAAGTGAGAAAAAAACCCCTTTTCTGGTGAGGCATCACACCCTTTCCCATTCTCACGAAGACCTAGAGAACCAGCTGGAGTCTGTTTTTTTCGCCATTATTCCCTAAATGTTTGCTGTAAAGAATGCTCTCTGATATGACTTGTTTCTGTCCTTTACAGAGCCTATTCTGTAAATAGTGAATCACTTTGGGAAAGGTGATTTCTAGATTGTTAATCCTTTAGCTATGTGTTTCATCCTCTAATATCAGGCTGGTGTAGACACACTGGGAAAAGAAATAAAAACTTAATGTCTTTTCTAAAGCCTCTCCCAGAGAAGAAAAGAACACGGGGAGGAAGGAGTCTTGACATCACTTAATAAAGCTTTATGAGTAACTCCTTTACTACCATAGATAACATTGCTAATGCATATTGCTCAATGAATGAAAATGTCCCAGGCTATACTTTACAACAGGCAGAAAACTTTGAGCTGTCTTGCCAATGCTTTATACTAAGTGCCAAATCCTTATTTCTTTCTTAGGCATTTATTGTAATAACATGAATCATGATGCATCACTCTGGTATTCGTGTGGCTGCTCAGTGTTAAGTCCCCAGGACCTCCATGGAGTTGACTTTATTTGGTTTTCCACTTCCGTTTCTGAGTGAGAGCTACATGAACTCAGACGTGAAGGCTCACAGGAGCTCAAGTGGGCGGCCCTTTCTGTTGCTGTTTTGGTCTGCCTGTACTCAGTGGTTGTGGTATGTGCAGACCTGAGCAGTTCAGGGGACATTCAGCTGGAACTATCCCCATTTCCTCTAGTTTCCATTAAAACAAGAGACTTAGGATGATGTTCAGGAATGCTCAGACAGTTGCAAACCTCTGGGGCACTTGGAAGAAATGTGGCTATTAATAGAATTTTTGAGCATTGACGTATATGTTTTCTAACTTCCCATACATAATCCTGAGAGTGGGGCTAGATGTTAAACCCTGGAAGTAGGGAGTTTCCAGAAAACCATTCAAGGTATCAGTATCAAGTTTTTGACTTGATGAAGTTTGGATGAGTGGCTTCTGTATATAAAGGTTAATAGTGCCTATTTCAAAGCCTAAATGGAATGCTGTGCTCATCTCCAACTTTGTGAATGTTCAATTGGCACAGTCAACTTATTCACTTTGAAAGTCTTAACCATGCTGGTGAACCAGCAGGAGTGCTGTTGGGAATATTCAACATAAGCAAAAAGGAAAGGTAATGAACATTGAGAGCAATTGAAAGGATGATCCAGTGAAAAATATGTGGCCTTACCTGAGTGTCTCAGCTGAGCATCAGTCCAGCAGAGCATCAATCACTTGCAGTGGCTGTGGCAAAGACAGTGATGGCTTATTCATTGATTTCTACAATAAATATTGTGCCTTCACTACATGCCACTTACTCTGCTAGGCACTGGAGATACCATTCTGGACAAAACCAGACGTGCTCCTGTCCTTCCAAGTCTAACAATTTGGCCCGAGAGACAGATATTAATCAAGTAGTCACAAAAAAATAAATAAAATGTCAACCTTGACAAGGAATTGGACAAGGTACTATGAAAGGCCTTGACCTAGCTGAGGATATAATGATTGGGCTGAGACTTAAAAGATGATAAGTAATTAACTAGGATACCACAGGAGGGAAGAGTGCTTCAGGCAGAGGGAACAGCTTGTGCATATGAAATTGAGTGGTTCACCCAGTCATAAAATTAATAACTGGTAGATTCAGAGATGGCTGAAGAGCTCTAGGGGTCTCAGTTAGGAGTTTTACTAGCCCTATCTAATAGACCTTTTGCATAGTTCTATAGCTATGCTGTTGGATACAGTAGCCATTAGTTATATGTGGCTATTAGCCCTTAAACTGTGTTTAGTGTGATGAGGAACTGAAATTTTATTTAATTTTAATTCATTTAAATATAAATAGCCAAATGTGGCTACCATATTGGAAAACACAGATCTGTATGAACCAAGTCCTGAACTAGCCCAAGCTACATAGGGCAGAGGATTATTAAAGAGGAGAGGAAATAAATTTTTTTTTCTGAGATAACAATAAGCACATTGACCCCGGGGCTTCATTCATTCACTCTCATTCAAAAACATAAATTTATTGGGTACTCACCATGTGCCAGGTACTAGGCTAGACCTGGAGCTTCTCTGATTAACAAGACCAATCTCCCACTCTTGAGGTGTTCAGAGTCTAATGAGAGCAGAAACACTCACAGTAGTAATAGCAATACATTGTGGTTGAATTGGCAGGACTTTGCTTTTTTAGGGTTGCTTACAATGGGAAGAACTGAGGGATCATTCTTCTCTAATCCAATACTAGGTATGCTCAACCCTATAGGTAAAGGTCATGGTTTCTAAATCCCAACTGCTCCATACTCCGAGGTCTTCAAATAAAGAGGGAGGGTTTTAATATAACACACTACACCCTTTAAAAAAAAAATCTCCCAAATTCAGTATACCAGCATAAAAAAAGAGGTGGATTTGCTTTTCATACAGGCCTTGCATGCCTCTTCATATGTAGGGCATCTATTGCTGAGTTTGGGGAAGTTGGGCCCCACCAGTTGAAATTCTTCATAAATAGGTCATGAGACTTTTACTCAAGGATCCGGGAAGTGACATCAAATTTTAGTCAGAGCCAAGCTGTATTTTCACGGGACTTTCAGGCATTGGCTTTTGCTTCTCACACAGGCTAAAAGGGAGCTAATAACTTTTACATGTTTTCTAAAAGCACTTTCTCACAAGCAGTGGCTGTTCAAACACTTCAAACACTTAAACCTTCCTGCTATTACACACAGAATGCCAACAGTTATTACATCATTGTAAAAAACACTTCCTGATACTCAATTATACTCATTATGCCTAAATATTTAATTCCTGCCAATACCCAATTTAAATCGTCACTTCAAAATAATTTGTTTCCGATTATTGGGATCTACTAAATTACCTCCTTAAACCTATCACCTGAAAAAACATTACATGCCAGGGAGAATAAAGAGACCTTCCCCATTACAAACTCAGGACACTTGCCCAGGGAGCTTCTCCTTATGGCACACTGGTTTCTACAGTGTGTTCTGGCTTACAGCTTGTCCCTCCATCTTGAAGACCCAAGGAGGAAGAACCCAGATGGTGTGCCCCACTGACCTCGTCTGTCAACAATGACTGTTCAGCAAAATTAGTGGGTGTGGGGTGTGGAGTAAAAAATACAGAAGCAGAGGCCTACTCAAAATACACTTAATGAGAACCATCTAGGGGGACTGGAAATCCATATTTTTAAAAAATATCTCAAGGGATTCACAAATGATTGGTTAACAGACTAGAAAATACTATTGTATTCAATTAGTGTATTTTACCATTACATTTATGACATAATTTTCAGTGTGAAGTTTGTCAGTGAAGTTTTCCTCTGAATTAGACAAGTACCTCAGACTTCTTAATACCAAAGTGACTCTCCCTCATCTGTATTATTGCCGATAGGGCATTGCATTTCTACCAACAATACTAACCTAAATTTCTCCATATGTTTCTTTTTTCATCAATGCTTCTTGCACTTCATTTGTTTTTTCTGGGTTAAATTTTGCTCCTGCTAAAGTATATCCTTTGGTATTTCTTTCCATGAAGGCCTTAGTAGTAAACATTTTTAGTTTTTGGAAGTCTGAACATATCTTTATTTTTATGTCATTTAAGAGTGAAACTTTAACAGGATATAAAAAGCTAAAATAATAATCGTATCCCATAAGCACAGAGAAGATATTATTCCATTGTCTTCTGGAATCCATTGTTGCTTATGAGAAGTCATCTGTTAATAATCTAATTATCTTTGCTTTAAAGGTAATTTGTCTTTTCTTTCTGGTAAATTTATCTTTATTTTCATGTAGTGTGGTTTCAATGATATGTGTTTAGGTTCAGATTTGTGCTTAATTATCATTTTTGGATTCCATGTTCTTTTTCAACTTAAGGATTTATAATTTTCTTTAATTTTGAAAATATTTCTACCATTGTCTTCAAATAATACCTCTTGCCCACATGTTGGGTTGTTCATTGTATCTCCATGTCTTTTTATCTTCTCTTTTATATGCTTAATGTCTTTATCTTTTTGAAAAGTGTTTCCCTGAGGGAAAATTAGTAAATTAGAGGTAAATGTCAGGAGGTCACTTTGCTGTTTCACTCATATATTCAGGCTCTAAAGTATTTTTAGTGACTATATTTTTCATTACTAGAACCTATATTTGCCATTAAAAAAAAATTCTCACTTTTTTTTCCAAGAACTTTTGCACATTTCTTTCTTTTTCTCATGAATATTTTTTAAATGCATATTAAAAATCTCTTTCAGATTTCTCAACTATTTCTATTCTTGTGCATTTGCTCAGTCTTTCATGGAAGTTTATTATGTACTTGTGAGCTCATCTTCAGGGAGAGTTATTTTTATAGGGGGCATCTCTTTGAAGAGGTACAAAGTTTGCTTGTGGACCAGTTTTTATGTTAATTTCTCATTCTTGTATTATATAGGTAGCATTAATTTGGAACCTGCCATTGGACAGGGTGGTCTTGGGGTTTCTGTTTCTCATAAGTGACTTTCCCCTCTTCTGCAGTTCCACATACCTGACCTGGTGGATAGAGTTTTCCTAGTGTTTTATCAAGACAGAACTTCCCAGCACCTAGATTTAGGCAGAATTTAGGATCTAGCTTTACAGCACACATAGTGCTTTCGACATAAGTCCTGCATAGCTGATACTTCCCTAAGCCCTAGGAGTATTCCACTTCCAAGATGTCTGTAAGAAATTTTATTTTCAACTTCCGTTTTGAGCTCTTTGAGTAATGATTAAAAGCGTAGAATCTAGATTCTGACCACTTGGAATTAAAATAAACAGCTCTGCCACTTACTAGCTGTATAACTTTGGGGAAGTTGCTGAATCTCTCCATGCCTTAGTTTTCTCAGCTATAAAACTGTGACAATAACTTTCTCATGGAGTTATGGGGATCAAATAAGTTAATATAGGTGAAATACTGAGGATGGTGCCTGACACATAGCAAGCATTAAATATATGTTTGCCATCATAATCTTACTTTCAGCTTGCCTACATATTAAACTTTTTTGTTAATATATTATATATATAGGCATATGTTAACATATATTTTAATAGATATAATTTTGTTAAATATATTTTATTAGGTTATATATGTGTCCTATATATAGGTATATATTAACACATATTTTAATATACATAATTTTGTTAAATGTATTTTATTATGTTATATGTGTGTCATATATTTTCTTTCGTAATTTGAAAAATATGTTTTATATATGGATAGCATAAGATTTTCATTCTGTTTTAGAAATATGGCCTTTCTAAAGTGAGGGCACAGTGGTAACAAGCAGGATATGGGAAGCTTATATTATATTCAGTTGCTATATGCAGGATTTGGGGCCTCTGACTTCTCAATGGTTGAATTCTTTTTTCCTCATTAAAGGCTTGGCTGGGCTCTGCTATCCTTCTCTCCTTCCCATGGCTGTCACTGCTAATCTTCACAAATTCATCTTTATTTTGAAGGTCATGGAACTCCAGAGATGTTTAGATGTATTTGAGCTGGCAGGAGAATTATTTTACTTCATTCATTCCTACATACAAAAGGTTTTTTATTTTGTGTTTTACCATTTTATTTGACCACACCAGCAAGTCTGTTTAACTGAATGTGGTATTTTCACAAGGAATAATGATCTGAGGAAAGGGGGCCTGTTCCCGAAAGTGGGATTGTAGATGCTAGTCTTGGCTCAGTTTCTGGGGTTTATTAAAAGAGTGTTTATAAAACCACTCTATTTTTATTTACCAAGAACATTAGTGGAGGAAAGGGGCAAGAAAAAAATGGCCTGGGACTCAAAATTCTCTGAGGATAAATCAATCATTAAGTAGATCATATTTACATGAATAACCAAGACTTGACGAGATGTGTCAGCCTACTCAGCTCCTAGCCACAGGTCAGCAAGGATTTAATGTACAATCAACCTTCTCTCATTCTACAGAAATAAATGAAAAAACTAGTCAACTAAGCAGCAGGCTGCTCTGAGGTTTCTTAAGTAGAAGGGTGACCTTCCCCTATTGATGCAATAAACAGCACCACTTTTTGTGAATCCGTCTCTCCTTCCTTTCTTTCTTCCTTTTGGAAACCTAGCAATGGCTATGAACATTATGGTGACATATAGTTTATCAGAGGTCCTTACTATGTTTTCTTTTTTTTTTGAGACAAAGTCTCATTCTGTCATTAAGGCTGGAGAGCCGTGTTGCGATCACAGTTCACTGCAGCCTTGATCTCCTGGGCTCAAGTGATCCTCCTACCTCAGCCTCCCAAGAAGCTGGGACTGTAGGTGTACATCACCATGCCCAGCTATTTTTTTTTGTTTGTTTGTAGAGACAGGTCTCACTATGTTGCCCAAGCTGGTCTCAAACTCCTGGGCTCAAGTAATCTTCCTACCTTGGCCTACCAAAGCACTGGGATTATAGACATAAGCCACTGAACCTGGCCTCTTACTATGCATTAAAACACCACTTTTGGCAATAAAAGCCCCCAAAGACAATCCTGAACTTATGCAGGGAGTCTGACTGTGCACTCCATAAAATGGTGTTGAAAACTGTGTGAGCACACAGGCATATTTTTCGGTTTGGAATTGAGAGAAGGGATGTATAGAGCCACAAAGGAACATGGAGCCAGAGCACAGTGAGACACCCATGGGCTGGGAATTCCTCTCTGCCTGGCCTTGTTCAATCTACAAATTACTAAATGGGTAGAGTTACTAATATAGGGCATGGATTTGATGTGTATAACACAAAAATGTTTCTAAAAAACAAGACAGAGTTGAATAATTCATTTATTCTGAGTTCTGTAGGTAGACCCACTGTTTTATCAGAGGGAATCAATACATGGTGGATAGAGAGGTTAGAATTAAAAATTTTAATCCCAGATGTGTCAAGGCATCATTAATTCATTAATTAATTATCTCAACAAATACTTATCAAATGTCTACTATGTGTCAGACACTGTACCAGACTCTGGAGATATAATGAAGAACAATGCAGACACAGCCTCTACTTTCTTGGAATTTATAAGCTGTATGCCGATAACCAAATAACTTTGTCTCTCTAAGAGTCATTTTTTAATCTGTAAAATGGGGTTGTAGCAAGGACTAAATGAGAAAAT